GAGTGTGTGTAATGTTTTCGTAGTTGGCTAGTAATAGGTGGCGCAGCTCCTGGCCGTTAGCTATATATTGGTGGTGGAGAAGTCTAGCCCTATCCACCGCCTGCTCGGCATCTTCGGGCGGGTACTCTTGCATCATGTGGACATAATCTACCCGGGCCAGTTTGTATTGGGCGCACAGCTGCGGGTATAGCGCTGCCCGCGCCACCTGTTCTGCCTGCGATAGGGCCGTCATGGGCTCGTCCTCTTCGTCGGACGACACCGGAGACTGTGGTGGGGTATAAACTACGGTCCTAGAGCTGGAACCGGAGGGCGAGCCCGCGTCTTGCAGTTCGCCCGGCGCCTGACCGCCATTCAGCACATACTGTCGGAGCCCCTCAACGTTTGCGAGCAGTCGGTCGGTATACACATCGTCGGCCTGTTCTCCAATCTCGTCGACATACGCGTTGGCCATGGCTTCAAACACATCCCGGGCCTCCTGAGGCAGGTGCCGGTAGTCCAACGTCTCGCCGTTGTAATCGATCGGCCGGTTCGCACCCATCAGCCTATTCAGGTCCCGATTGGTGTACGCGTCCAACGCCTGAGCCTCTGTCAAACGTAGGCCTTCGAGCACTTCGACTCTCGCCAGGCGCTCCCGCATCAGCCGATCGAGGTAGTCCGGGGTCACCACGTCCCTGTTCATACCACGCAAGTACTGAGACAATTTGGCCAAAAACCGTAGTAGTAGAACCCAGTTCGTTCTGACCGTGGCCCAGTTGGCCGGCCTACGGGCCGCCAGCGCCGGAAACCATTGGCGCAAATAGGCGCGCAAGAATATCTGCCGACACACGAGCTCATACACCCGGTGCCGCTCAGCGTCTGTGTAGTTCTCGTAGTTGGGATTTAGTAATAGGTTCCGCAGCTCAGCGTCGTTAGCGTTATACGGCTGAAAAAGTGCTCTAGGCCTTTCCGTGGCCTGCGCGGCCCCTGCGGGCACGTTATCTATATGTATTATGTCGTCGAACTGGACCGGGTCCAGCTCGTACCTATCGCATAGTTGCTGGTATAGAGCTGCCCGCGCCTCCTGAAGTGTCTGCGATCGCCTTTTCATAGTGTGTTTTGGTTTGCTTTTATCCATACCTGTGCTTAGTTTGATCCGGACTTATCTGTACTCACACTTTATGTTTAAAACTTTTGGATTTACTCGAAAGTAATTTTTTTAATTTTTGTTTTGATTTTTTTTAGTGTATAATGATTTAGACATTTTTAAAACAAATAAATTGATTAAAATTTTTTCCTTATATTGAAAAATGAAATTTATTATGAAATTAACATTATATTGTTTTGGACAATCGATAACAAGTTGAAATAAGTAAAATAAGCCAATTTTTTGTAAAATATACAATTAAATATTTAAATTTATTGAATATAACAATATCAAAAGCATGGGTTATTAATCATTAAATTAAATTAATTACTATATTCATTTAGTTTATTTATCATGTTCAACAACTGATTATTAATAGAACCTATTAACCAATGTGTGACTGTGCGGGTGTAGGACAACCATGTTTTGTCTGCCCATTCATGTCAGTCATACGCTGTCTGTGCAGTAAAGTATGAATGCGTGTCTTTGGGGGCATCTGTGGTAAGTGATAGGACTCGGCGCCCCAGAAGTGGCGATTATGGCCGCCAACAGACGTATTGTCTGGCCTACGGCTCAGGCACTTGCGAATGGGTCGGCTTTGTTCCCATAACCACTGTATTATACCCGGTCTGAGTGCCCGCCTGTGTTCACGATTCGTCCGAAACAGTAGATCGATGTCATCCCTGTGCCGATCGATGCGATGGATCGTTGGGCTGTTGTCAGCGTAAGCGTTGTCCACCTCGTCATTGGCGGTGTCTGTGAACACACAGTTGTTGTACGTGATGTCCACCAGTCGGCAGTCAATGCCCGACACCCGACACACCCGTCGTTTAATATCGTTAAATGTGGTCACTTCGGGCGCCAACACCAGTAGTCGCACCTCTTTGTCCATCTCTGGCCGCACTCTCGTCACAGACACTGTTATTACTATGGGTTTTGACGGCATAGTTATTATTGAGAGATGTCTTTCAAAATAGGTTTCGATATCTAATAAATAATCATTTATTAGTAAATAAATGTATGCAAAAATATAACTAATACTCATTTCATACCTACTTTGTTAAATCAAAAATAATTACACGATGTAACTAAATAAATAGCAACTGGTAAATTAATGCCTTGGCAAACAACGTGCTAACACACTAATCATGTACTACCATGTAAGATAAATATTTTATAGATTATCAAAATGATAAATGCAATATACAAATATGTCAAAATGCAAAGTTACAACAATTATAATCTGTAGGCGTTTTCATATATTTCATGTAACAAATTATTTTCCATTTGGTTTATGTGTAAAATACTGTCAAACCTCGTGATAAGAAACTTACTTTAAGGAACACTTTTGATTTAAAACATACAATGTGTTTACTATTTAATTTTAAAAAATGGTAGTTTTTCAGAAGTAGCACTAGTAGACTTACTTGTATTGTATTGTACTAATAGTACAGTGCCTTAATGAAAAAATGTAAAAACATGGTAAATGTAATCAATGATTTAAAATTTTCACAAAATTACTATTGTGTTCATCACTTAAACAACAAGATACTTTATCAATAGTTCAAAAAAATCTATGTCTAAAAACATATTAATCTCTATCTATACAAGCAATGTCTGATTTTTGGACCAATTTTTTAAATAACTTTTGAGTGTAAAACTCTGACTCAAAAAGTTTAATATAAAAATTTTAAAAGGTAAATATTGCTTTTTGCATTTCAATACGGTTTCAATGTAAAGTATCATAGTATTGAACTTTAATATTGAACTTAATTCTAGCCTGAGTTATTACTCAAAAAGGTTTTATGAATATAGCCGTATAGTGATATCGCACTAACAATATCGTGCGATTAAATTGCCCTGATAAGTTATCAATGATAACACTCACGAGACGAGCTGTGTTTTGATTGGTTGATTGATAGCATTGCAATCTAACACAGCTTTTTGTCAAAAACATTTTTTCCGGACTAAACGATAACGTGGTTTACAACAAGACAATCGACGGATCAACACAAATGGCGACTCCAGAGGAACTGCAGTACAGTCTTTACCAACAATTATGTGACGAATACAAACTCGAGCCGTACAGCGCTCAGCAACTGACCAGTCAATGGCCCGACGAGTGGCCACACGAGACCGGTATGGAAGAGATGGTTAGGGCGGAGACTATCGCACAGATGGCCGCCGACAGCCGGGCATACGTGCGACAAACGCTGCAATCGTCGGACTACGACCCGCACGGGATGTCTGCCGACGAACGGCACACACTCTATACACACCTCTTTCGTGACCTCTATTCGCAGCCATACCGGGACCGGTGGGCGCCGGCGATCACCGCCCGTCGTGGGCCCGAACTCAGACAAGCGATTGGCGATTACGGCCGCGATTTACGGCTCTATTTGGATGCGTTTCGCGTGTTTGACGGCCAAAAGGAGAGGGAACCCGATTTGCGGCTATTGATGGCCCGACGCCGACACCACTTGACCCGCATTGAGCGCCGATACGGCCTAAAGGAGCGACAGTTGATCGACGCGTACACTCACCGCGATTTGGCCGACTTGTGCGGGCCGTACAGACCCGCCTATCCGCGCGTATTGGCGACGGACTATCGGACAATTGGTGGCCACGACAGGGATCTGTTCGTGTATTTGGTTAACAATTATGTGAGTGGTTTGGAGCGCCGCCAGCGGAGTGTCGCCTCGTTTTATTACTGGATGATTATTAACCGTTGGATCCAAGCCGTGGACCAATTGGCACGAGTGATGTTTGCCAGTATTGATGGTCAGTGCAGTGGTCAGCGATTGCCAGTGAGTCCGGTGAACACGGATGCGATGGTTACGGCGGACTACGACGAGGAAGTGTGTCAGACCAGAGCGCCGGTAGACTCGATGCCCAAAATAGACGCAACATTTGTTGAGAATACTGGCGCTGAAGACGTTATAGTTGAACAATATATGGCAGATATAACCCAAGATCATGAGACACATGGAGACAAAGCTGCCGGTGCTGATCAACTGCAACACGAGTGTCAACACGACTGTCCAACTTTGACAATAGTGGCAACTCATGCGCCCCCATTATTACCTGATTGCGATGAATTGCCGCCATTACTGACCGATTGGGAACAGTTGCCGCCCTCTGGCGCTGGACAGTGGGCGCAATTGGGTCGCCGACGGGCACAGCCTTCGGAATTCGTATCGGACGCTAATTTTGACGCCATACTGGAGTTGACGTACGACCCTATGCTTACCGAACGCCGGCTCCGGGAGTTTGCCGTCCAATTGCTGGAAGCCGACCGCCCGGAGCCACCGGTGCCCGGACTGCACGATATGCGCGACGACGAGAGAGCCGATCCCCGGCACAGGCGTCTCGTTTTGCGCACACTTTACGATCTGCACCGCAATCTATACATGTTTATTACAAATGAGCATGGTTCATTTTATCACAGTGGTCATTTTGCGGGCGGCCCGCCCATCGACTGTGTCCGCTACCAGTGCCAGCGCTTCTACCATATGCTCAACGCATTGCGTGTATATCACGAAAATCATAATAACTTATTGTAGTCGAGCAGTCAGAGCGCCTATGGGTCGGCACCTGTGGTCATGTACTGTAAACAATACAGTATTAGTAATAGTAGTTTTATTTTTGTAAATTTAATATTTGTTAAAATCTAGGTACAAATAAAATAAATAATTATTTTGCAAACTTTTAATTAAAATAAATGAATCATTTTTATAACCATTATTTGATAAAATATTTTCAAAAACAATTAAAATTAGCCCAAAATTAGTTGAAAATAAAAATTTAAAACACAAAACAGTTTGTGTCCCAAAAAAATACTGACCCGAAGACAGAGAGCACTCCATCGGGCGATACAATGTCCGGAGCTTTAAAGCGGATCCACAGAGAGTTGACACAACTTCAAAGAGATCCGGTGCCGGGCTGTACGGCCGCACCCATTGGCAACGATTATTTCCATTGGACGGGCAGTATTGAGGGCCCGCCGGACACCCCCTACGAGGGCGGCGTATTCAACGTGCAGATAATATTGCCGCCCAATTACCCGCTGAGTGCACCGCAAATCACATTCACGACACAGATATTTCACCCGAACATCACTCCCACGGGTGGCATATGTTTGGACATATTGAACCGCGAGTGGAGCGCCGGTCTCAGCATTGGTCAAGTGCTGCTCTCACTGCAGTCCCTGTTGGCCGACCCCAACGCCCGCGACCCCTACAACGGCACGGCTGCGCGCCTGTATCTACACAATCGGCCCAAGTTCAACAAAACGGCCCGACAGTGGACTCAACAGCACGCGTACCCACCGGCCGGCTATGTGTTTACCACTACTCAGACCACTACCACTACTACTCCGGCCAACAATCAGGACAGCGCCGGTACCGGTAGCGGTGGCTCCGGTACTAGTGGGTAGGGCTCATGTGTTCAGAGGCTGGAGAGTTGTATTGAGTAGATTACCAGCAATGGTAGTGATTTAATTGTGTGTAAAATTAAATGTGAACACAGTTTGAATTGTTTTGACATAAATTAATGTGTTTAGAAATATTGATATATCTTGCATTTGATTCAACTCTCTGTACACTATATTTTATGCCAAATTAGTATAGAGTTAATTTACCTACAGTAATATTTGTCATTTACAAATTACCTCAATTTTTTTACATAACTACAGTATATTAACCATAATTATTAAATCAATCAAAATCATATTATTAAAATAGCATTCATTGTTTATAAAATGTTTATTTAATGATAATATTCTGATAATTTAATGATCATGCATTTCATAATAAAAACTTATTTCCGTTGTTATCATAAAAAACTGTTAACATGTTGTTAATACAATTCTATCGCATAGTTAAATACTTTATGTTATTTTATAATTGCAACTTTATATTAAGGACTTTAAAGCAAAACATGTTAATTAAATAGTTAACATAAATTATCGATGATATCATTAGTTTAAATGCATTTAAGATTTTGGCATATTGTAACTAGATATTTTATTAAAATATTTATGCAATTTATAAATACTTGAAAATTTAATTAAATTAAATCATACATATTTAAGAAATTAATATTAATAATTAATTAATAATCTGAATCTAACAACCAGTATTGTGTCATTTACTTATAAACTTTATAATATAAAAGTTAATACTTTAATTGAATTGAATATTATAATATTATTTTTTGTTAAAATATATTCAAAATAAAAGTTAATTTTAATTTTATTAAGTGTGTGATTAAAACAACAAAAACAGTTTAAATAAAATCAATGGCCAAACTGATCATAATATGTAATTTATAAAACTAATCAAAAACTTACATGATTATAACATTATTTGTTTACTAAAATGTAAAGGGATTGTGTCTCTTGTATGGCAACTCAACGCTAACAATACGGAAATTGATTTTTGCAATTCATTTAGCAATACAAAGAAAATTGATCTAAATTTTCAGCAAATAGTTGATGAGATAAGTAACATTGTACATAAATACCAATCGATGGTAATTATTGGTAACAACTATTGGTTAATAACAAGTGTTAAGGGGCGCGCATTCGTCCCAGAGGATCAATACCCGGGATATGCAGTGTTTAATACAAAATCGTATGAAACTAACCACTGGTTTGACTCACAATACTCGGCAGTATTTAGTGTCGTATTTAAAGACAACACACATGCTTACGGCTTTTTAAACGTAATAATTAAACTTTATATTATTTATTTGTTTATAATTAGTATTTATAATTTGATTAATTTTATTATATTTTTTTATGAAGACCAAAAACAATACAATTAAATGGAAAATTTACAATGATCACACATACGAAACACAATTTGATGGTCGCAAACAATTTCACACACGTGAATTTGAAATAAAGTTTGAATTGGGTTTCAAACCGACCACGAGTTTTGCGTTTACAAATGAGCGGATCATTTGTTTTATGAACCAAATGTCTATCGAAAATGTTTTTATGCGAAACTATCGGTGTTTTAACTTCACAGACATTAATAAACCACAGGAACTGATTGTCGGACAAAACCAATGGCTGACACATAACGAGGACTACAATCTCAAGTCAATGATTGCCGGGACTGAGAGTCCGTACGAAGTGTTGGCTATATTTGTATTTAAACATCGCTTTCAATATCTGGTACTCTATAGAAAAGGTCTGGATATCACTTATTGTATTGAAGAGTATTTCTCGGATCGTAATGGAGTAAGAATTATGTCAATCCAAATGTAATTTTATATTAACCAAGTTGATTTCTTATAGTGCCATACACCAAAACGTACGCTAATAGCATGCACTCCATTTAACTGGGAGTTACCAATCATTTGGTCATTGGTTATATTATGTCAATCCAAATGTAATTTTATATTAACCAAGTTGATTTCTTATAGTGCCATACACCAAAACGTACGCTAATAGCATGCACTCCATTTAACTGGGAGTTACCAATCATTTGGTCATTGGTTATTATTATTGCTATTGTTTTAATTGTATATAGCATTGGATTGGCCTTTAAATGGGTTAAAAATTACAGAGCAACCACTTTTGCTCCTTTATCCTAGAAATTAATTATAAATTATATATGATTAAATAAATTACAAATTAATATTATATTTAAGTAATTATTTTAATTAGCGTTAAGTAAAAATTGGTTTTATTTAAGCAGGAATTGAATATAAATCTTATTATTTAATTTAATAACTATAAGAGTATTCTTTGTAGTATAATTTTGTAAAATTTCAATTAATTATTAAAGGTCTTGATTATGAACTAAATTTTACTATAATTCGTGGATTTAATCATATAATAATATTTTTACACATCTATGTAAGATAATGTTAATAATGTGTAATTAACAAGTATGACTAATATACACTAAACTGCTATAAATGCAAAAAGTTAAAATTGAATTTTACTTGGTATTTATGATGAATAATAAACATGCTTATAAACGCAGTGTATACTCAAAATTGTAACGGTAATAAAAACAATATATTAATTACCATTAATGATCCATTGCGTGAAATCAGGATTTACATTGTATTTATATATTAACACCAAATAGCAATTAATTGAAATATGTCTCTTTATTATTTGGTTATAACAGGTATTTAATAAAAACTAAATTAAATTAAACTCGTTAAAATAATTAACTAATTTCTATCTATCATTAAAAGCAATGCTGTGTTTGTTATCACAACTCAATGCCAGCAATGAATCGGTGATTGACTTTTGCGATTTCTATAGAAATAAACAACAAATTGATTACAATTTTCATTTAATAACCGAATCGAGAGATCAAATGATGTTAATTATGGACAACAAGTATTGGTCACTCAATCGGACCGATAAAATCATTCATTTAAATACAAATTCATCGACAAGTCATTGGTTTGACGGCCAATACATCGCAACGATTACCGCTATCTATGGCAACGAAACCGCATTTGGATTTATTAAGGTAACCATTAATCAATCACATTTTGTTTTGAGTTAACCCTAAATTATACTCATTATTAGCCCAATAAACTAATTACTGATTGGAAAACTTATGACGAGAACAGTCCAAACATTACAATTGATTTTGAGGGCACTTCAGATAAATCTATGCTTGTGTCCAATACCACTGGATTTAATAAAACATTGAAATTCAAGCCTAACTTCAGTATACAAGCTGTAAATTAGTGTTAGCCAAACGCGATCGTCATTTGTGTAAGAATAGGGTGACCAACATATAAACTTTAAGCACAACTATTAATATTGAATACTCATTTCTGATCATTTATAAGTAATTAGAAATACATTTCTATTTTTGGAAATTTCGAGAAAAAAATATTTGAAAACATTTTTAAACGATTTCTGTTTCCGTTTATGTCTCTGTTTGTACTGAAAAAATGATTCAATCAATGGTTTGTTTTTTATTACAATTTTGAATCTTTTTTCGGGTAAATTGTTTGCCATTAAAATAGACGAATTGATTGAAACAAACGTTTTTGTGTTTTGCATTCAAAACGGCGTTTAAGTAATTAATTGTGATTTTAATTACATTACGTTTGTATTGAAAACTATTGGTTTTGGAGACAAATGTGGTTTTGATTTGTGGTTTGTGGTTGGATAATATTATTATATATTGAATTTATTAAATATTTAAAATTATTTATTTACACACAATTAAATTATTATTACATTTTGTTTATTAAGCTTAAAAATGTTATTATTTGCTAAACAATTTGATTTTCTATTAAATTATTAATATATAAATTCATGTGATTTGTTGAGGGAATTATCTGGTCACTCTAAAAAAATCGGACGCGTCCGATTTTTGGCTAACCAAAAATGTTATTATTTGCTAAACAATTTGATTTTCTATTAAATTATTAATATATAAATTCATGTGATTTGTTGAGGGAATTATCTGGTCACTCTAAAAAAATCGGACGCGTCCGATTTTTGGCTAACCAAACTGTAAATGATAACAACATCTGTCTTATAGGTCAGATGCAGGCAAACAATGTGTATAACAGGACTTATCAATGCTATGATATCCATAATGTTAGCCATGCTTTTCCTAATAATCCAAAGAATGTCATTCCCGCCGACGGTCAAAGTGGCCACAAAGTAATTGCTGTATTCAATGACTACAACTCCTCTTTCAAATTGCTTCTATGGCTATACGCCGACGAACTAGAGATCAGGTATTGCTGGACACAAACTAATGCCATGTCTACCGATGTATGTTATAATTGTTTAAAAAATTTATACATTAAATTAATAAAATTTCAATACCCAAAACAGTGTTTTCCAAACAGTACTACGTTAATTAACTGCAAACTTGAACCAGGATCAACTTCAACGGTCACTACAGAGACAGTGGCAAAGCCTACCACTAATAGCTCACCACAGGTGTTGTTGACATCATTAACCCAAAACCCAGTACTAACCACACGACCAGTACTAACCGCAAGTCCAGTACTAACCGCAAGTCCAGTACTAACCACAAGTCCAGTATTAACCACAAGACTAGTATTAACTACAAGACCAGTACTAACCACAAGTCCAGTACTAACCACAAGTCCAGTATTAACCACAAGACTAGTATTAACTACAAGACCAGTACTAACCACAAGTCCAGTACTAACCACAAGACCAGTATTAACCCTAAGCCCAGTACTAACCACAAGACCAGTGCTAACCACAAGCCCAGTACTAATCCGTACAACGTTAATTAACAGCGAATCCAAACCACCAACTTCAAAGTCAACTACAGAGACAGTGACTAAAACTACCACTACGAGCTCACCACAGGTGTTGTCGACAACACTAACTCCAAGCCCAAGACTAGCCCCGAGCCCAACAACAAACCCAAGTATTAATTATTTGGTGGTGGGAAATGTGGCGGCGTTTCTGGCACTGTTAGTCCTGTTCATCGTATCCGCCATTACTATGAGATTGGGTTACATTCGGAAAGAGAAAAATGATTTTATTATTGTAGACTTTGTTTAATATTATTAATGATTGTCACAAAACAAAACCATTTCCCGTTTCTTATTAATTGGTTTTATTAACATTTCTGTCAGTTATTTAATAATGATTTTTTGAAATTAATTGTGATTTTCATTTTTAAACAAATAATTTATGTATTTTTTATTTAATGTTTTATTTCAAGTAATTTTTGTTTTAAATGTTAATTTTATTATAATATGTCATTTCTAAATATAATTAAAATTAAAATAAGTTACAATTAAATTAATGGTATATAATATTAAAATAAATACAATTCTTTTATTTGAACAATTATTTGAGTCAATTGTTTATTTCATTATGTACTAAAAGATTTGCCACAAAAAAATTAATCAAAAATAATTTACAATTTACTACATAGTGAATTTATATTTAATTTAAATCAGTAATTAATATTTAAATACAATTAAAGTGCAAATGTTATAAATATTTATATGCTTACATGGCAAATTATTAGTAACCTTACGAGATTCAAAATACTCTTCAATACAATACGTGATATCCAGACCTTCTCTATACAGTACCAGATATTGAAAGCGATGTCTGAACTTAAATATAGCCAACACTTCGTACGGACTCTCAGTTTTGGCAATCATTGACTGGAGATTATAGTCAGAATCGTTTGTCAGCCATTGTTTGTGTCCGACAATCAGTTCCTGAGGTTTACTAATGTCTGCGAAATCAAACAAATATGACTAATAAGTTATACACTAAAATGCTATGAATGCAAAAAGTTAAAATTGAACTTTACTTTCTATTTATGATGAATAATAAACATGCTTATAAACGCAGTGTATACTCAAAATGGCCAAGGTAATAAACACAATATATTAATTGCAATTGATAATCCATTACGTGAAGTCAGAATCTATTGCTGTATTAACATTAATTGAAATATGACTCTTAATTATTTGGTTGTAACAGGTATTTAATTAAAACTAAATTAAATTAATTAAACTCGTTAAGATAATTAACTAATTTCTATTATCATTAAAAGCAATGCTGTGTTTGTTATCACAACTCAATGCTAGCAATGAATCGGTGGTTGACTTTTGCGATTTCTATAGAATTAAACCACAAATTGATTACAATTTTCATTTAATAACCGAATCGAGAGATGAAATGATGTTAATTATGGACAACAAGTATTGGTCACTCAATCGTAACGATAAAACCATTTATTTGAATACAAACTCATCGACAAGTCATTGGTTTGGTTGCCAATACATCGCAACATTTACTGTTAATTATGATAACAAAACCGCTTTTGGATTTATTAAGGTATTTAATTACAAATCAACATTTTAGATATAATTGTTTTGAGTTAACCCTAAATTATACCCACTATTAGCCCAATAAACTGCTTACTGATTGGAAAATATATAACAAGACCAGTCCAGACATTGAAAATGATTTTAAGGGCACTTCAGATGCAGTCATACCTGTGACCAATACCACTGGATTTGATAAAACACTGCCTAACTTCGGTATACAAGTTGTAAATGATAACAATATCTGTCTTATAAGTCAGATGCCGGTGAAAAATGTGTATAAAAGGGATTATAACTGCTATGATATCGGTAAAGTAAGGCATGTTTTTCTTAATCGCCCAACCGATGCCATTCCCGCCGACGGTCAAAGTGGCCACAAAGTAATTGCTGTATTCAATGATTACAACTCCTCTTTCAAACGGCTTCTATGGCTGTACGCCGACGAACTAGAGATCAGGTACTGCTGGACACAAACTGATGCCATGTCTACCGATGTATGTTATAATTGTTTAGAAATATATACATTAAATTAATTACATTTTAATACCCAAAACAGTGTTTTCCAAACAGTACTACGTTAATTGACTGCGGATTTAAACCACCAACATCAACTTCAACGGTCACTACAGAGACAGTGGCTAAGCCTATCACTACTAGCTCACCGGTACTGACATCACTAACTTCAAGCCTAGTACTGAATCCAAACCCAACACTAAACCCAAGTCCAGGTATCAATTACCTGGTGGTGGGAAATGTGGCGGCGTTTATGACACTGGTAGTCGTGTTTATCGCATCCGCCGTTAGTATAACATTGTGTTACATTCGGAGAGAGAAAAAGTTGATTACAGTAGACTTTGTTTAATATTATCAATGAATCTCACAAAACAATACATTTTTTCCAGTTTCTAATTAATTGCTTTTATTAACATTTCCGTCAGTTATTTAATAATGATTTTTTGAAATTAATTATGATTTTCATTTTTAAATAAATGATTTGTGTATTTTTTATTTTACGTTTTATTTCTTGTAACTTTTGCTATTAATTTTATTATAATATGTCATTTCTGTATATAATTACAATTAAAAAAGTTACAATTAATTAATGGTATATGATATTAAAATAAAACAAATTCTTTCTTCTATTTGAACAATTATTTAAGTCAATTGTTTGTTTCATTTTATACTAAAAGATTTGCCACAAAAAAAATTAAAAATTATTTACAATTTACTTCATGGTGAATTTATATTTAAATTAAATCCTTAATTTATATTTAAATACAATTAGAGGTTATAGTGTAAATGTAATAAATATTTATGTGCTGTACATGGTTATTATTAGCAACAGATTAGTCTTAAAATAATAATAGGCTAAATTAATAATTTTTAGAAATTCAATTGTAATTGACATTGTATTTGGTCCTATTCAATGTATACTATACAGTACTTTGTCAATTAATTATATACATGTATCTACATAACAATATCTACAATATTGCAACATAAATTAAAAGTTTCATTAATTAGTTTTAACAATTAAATACCCTAAAAACAATTACTCTAAACTACAAACTGTTTGATAGATTGATACAGTGCTATAGAAAAATATGTAAAAAATACACAACTATAGTAATTAAGCTACTGTACTAATATTAATTACTGATGAATTGCATACATTTTACCATGTAGTAGTAAATTGACCAGAGGTCCAGAAATGGCCTGGATTGTCCCGGAATTAGATGGCCTGTCCAGAATTTTACAAATATTTTAAACAGGCGTCCAGGATAATGAAGCTAAAATTAGTAAAATGTTCAGGAATCCATGATTATAGGGCTGATTTTTGCTCAAAATCCAGGATTGTCATATACTCATCTGGTCAGTCTATGTAGTAGTGCTCACTGACTGCAATTGCTCACTACGTTTGGTTAACTCCATTTGAATAATTCGCAGCAATACTATAGCGCACAATGCAATTACCTTTTTAGAAATAGGAAATCAAATGAAATATACATGTTTAAATGACATTTAAATTAAATCCAGCCCCTAAATAATTATATAACATTGCATACCTCATAACCGCGAAAATAGTTGATGATAAAAAGTTTGGCGCATGAAAAGCCCACCTTGTTCTTCTTACGTATGCCTATGCGCTCAAATAAATTCAAAAACTGGCAAAAAATACATAATAAAAAACAAATTAATTAATTAGCTAGATCAAACACAGACACACATACTTTGAACCCATGGCGGGCCATAACCACGGTCGACTGTCGGGCCCTCATGGTAACCAACTTATACGTGGCCAGCAGTTTGTACGTGCGCTTAGCCTCCAGACATACGGTGGCGCACGTGTCGATCAATATGATTAATAGCAGGGAGAAGAAAAAGGTGGCGTAAACCAAAATGATCGTAATGTTGACCGACATGTTCTCGTAGCCAAACGCGAACATAAAAATGATCAGGGCGATCACCGCCGAACTGGTCACCCACACAACGCCCAAAAATCGCGACCAATAGTTACCGTCGATACTCATAATCTCCAGGTATATGTAATGCAGCGAACGGGTGACCCGATCGGTGTCGGCGCCGGTCACCGGACGTCCGGCGCCGATACACTCGCGCAGGTAGTCGTTGACCGCTTTCTGTTTGCACACCACATAATAGGACAGTATGTAAAAGTAGAGTATCTGAACGGTTAGTATACGAAATATGAAGTACGAGCCGATGAAAAAGTGCATAGTATGGAGAAGGCCCAGGGTGATAAAGTCCAGGAAACTCACGCGCCATATATATGAGAAAAATGAGATAAAAAACGCGCATGATGACATCGAGTAGCTGAGAAAGTCCATCGACTTGAACACGAGACGAGTGCGGCCGAGTAGGTCGCGCACCAGGCGCTCGTTGGTCAGCCCGATCGACGCGGGCGTGATCACGCCCGACATCATGGTAAACACTTTGAGATAGCTGGGCTGTCGGCCCGCCAGCCAATAGTAATAGTGCAATATCTGCGACCAGATGGACATGTTGTAGACCAGGGCGGCGGTCATGTTTAGGTGGAACTGCATGTTCATGAAGTAGCCGTAGTCGCCGATCAGCAGGTAGAATCGGTCGCCCCGATCCCCGTCGATGCACACGCTGTACGTAAATCGTATGAGTAGTGACAGTGTTGTGAGAAACACCACAATCGGGTGGTGTATTAGTGGCCGCTTTTTGGTGCCCATCCGGTAGAATGTGGCCCCTATTAGATAGAGGTGCGCTCCGGACGACTCGATTCGCATACTCTCCGGTATCGGCTCCTGGAGGTTGAGCTCCGGCTCATTGGGTTTGAGCGGCTCCGGGCTATTAGCGGGCGATTCATTTGCCAAGCGTTTAGACTTTGCCATAATATAGTCTTTTGATGTTTGCTATCAGATGTTAAAATGTGTAATAATTATTACAACATAGTTTTGTTTTACATTGAATTTAGATACTATTTCCACATATTTTGTTATTCAAATAAGTTAAATTAATTATACGGTGAAATTACCTAAATTATTCTTACAGCACATGTTTTAAAAGACACGCTTGATTAATTAAATTAAATTATTTCTAATGAAAATGGTATGATTTATTGTTATGCTGACAAAATATAGAAATAATATCTATTGTTACGAATAGTGTACAATATTTCTTATGTTAACTAATAAATGTATTTTTATAAAGTACAATATATTGTTTGCGATCATTAATTCAAATAATAAATTTGTGTAATTTATTATGTACATATTTTATCCTAATTTATTGTCTAATAAATTATAAAATAAATTACAATAATTAATAACAAATATATTTAGAAACAAAAACTTATTTGTTTTTGCATAAAATAATTATTTAAACTAATAAATATAAACATACAGTATTTATTTTGTTTAACAAGATTTTATTAAACATTTACCATTATTTCTTATTTAATACTATAAAATTAAGCAATTATTTAAATATGTTTTTGTTTTATTTTATTTACATAATAAGAATTTAATGTATCTTATATTTATATTTGGTAAAATGTAATTAATATTTATTATTTTTGAGTAGATGGCCTTTATTATAATTTATGAATTCATACAGTTGCACCAATTTAATACATAAAGCACAATGAAAAATTTTGAAATGGTAATAATAATAAATAGTTATTGTTTAATCATTAAATGCACGTAGATTTCTTAAATTATAAACACTATGGTTATTGTTAAAATTTATTTTCATAGGTTTCCCATAAGCAAATTTATTCTAATTGATTTATATGGATTTCCCATTGCAATATATTCAGTATGTTAAAAATAAATCAATGTTAGTGAACAAAAGAAATAAAACTAAAGCAAACTAAAGGATTATAATCAATAACAAAATAATTATTTTTTATTAAATGATTTCAATCTGATTATTCGTGTAATTTAATGTAATTAATAGTAGTTATCAAATAATGCATTGAATTTTAAATACAAATTCCGTGTCCATAAATAAATTGATACAATAATAATAATTACAATAATAGTGATAATTAGTACTATTATCACAGTATAATCATTATTATTGCAAGAAATTAGAAGTCGTTTCGGTGTTTCGCACTATACAGATAAATACATTAATGTAAGATTTAAGGCAAATTGTTATACGTCATTAAGGCTGGTATTACCCCATTTCGATTTTCAGAATACTCTTCAAAACAATACGTGATATCCAGACCTTCTCTATAGAGAACCAGATATTGAAAGGGATGTGTGAACGCAAATATAGCCAACACTTCGTACGGACTCTCAGTTTCGGCAATCATTGACTTGAGATTATAGTCAAAATCGGTTGTCAGCCATTGTTTGTGTCCAACAATCAGTTCCTGCGGGTAATTAATGGTTGTAAACTCAAAGCAACGGAAAGTTCGCCGATAAACGTTTCCAATAAACGTTTGGCTCATAAAACAAATTGTCCGCAAATTTTGAAATACGAAACTCGTGGTCGGTTTGAAACCCAATTTAAAATTTATTTCAAATTCAAGTGTGTAAAATTTTATGCGATCATCAAATAGTGTTTTATAAGTGTGATCTCTGTAAATGCTCCAATTAATTGTATTGTTTATGGTCTATATAAAAAACAAATTTGAATAAATTAATTAAATTATAAATAGCAATTATTAATTATTGTAATTAATTACTAATTATATAATTAGATTGGTAATATAATGTTTAATTAATAATTATATTTAAATATCCATAAGCATTTGAGTTTTCGTTATAAATTACAGTAAATACTACCGAGTATTGTGAGTCAAACCAGTGATTACTTTTATACTAATATACGTAATATTTTATATTAAATTATAATTACCAATTATGAACTAATAATACAATAAGATTGGTAAATAATATAAAGTTTAATTATTACTTTTAGAAATCCACGAGCATGTGTTTTGTCGTGATCATCGAATAGTTTATCGTAAGTGTAATTGTAAATTCTCCATTTCAATGTATTGGTTATGGTCTATATAAAAATGAATAAAATTTAAACAAATATGATATAATTATAAATACCAATTACTAACTAATAATACAATTAGATTGGTAATATATAATTAGATAATTAAAAGTTTAATTATTACGTTTAAAAATCCATAAGCATGTATGTAGTCGTTAGAAATGACACCAAATACTGCCGAGTATTATGAGTCAAACCAGTGGTTACTTTCATACAATTTTCTATTAAACACTGCAGAACGATAATAAACAAAACTTGTTATTGACCAATAGTTTTCGCCAATAATTAACATCGATTGGTCATGATAATTAGTGTTGAGACCAAGTATTTGCTGAAAATTTATATCAATTTTCTGTGTATTTTTATAGGAATCGCAAAAATCAATTTCCGTGTTTTCAGCGTTGAGTTGCCATACAATAAACACAATCCCTTTATACGTAAATAAATAAATAATTTTATAATTATATAAGTTTTTAATTAATTTTACAAATTACATATTATGATTAGTTTGGCCATTGATTTGATTTAAACTGTTTGGTGAATTCTGTTTACAGTATTGTATATTCGATAGCTATATAGCCATATACATCCATCGATAGCTATATAATCCTCGATTCGGTAGCTTTGAGATGTGATAACAAACACACAATTGCTTTAATGAATTTAAATGAAAATATGCATATTATAATAAGTATGTAATTATATATAATTTAGTTGAAAATATTTTTATACATACCTGATATATAAATAAATGTTTATTTATTTGAGTATAAAACAATTTTTATTATTTTAATAGCACATGTTTTTTAAACATTTATTTTTACATATTTTAACATTAAGCGGATACTTATCATTTATTATTAGCAATCAATGAGTGTATTTTAATTTTAATATTAAATCTAAATTTAATCATTAAATAGCAATATTAATATAGTAATGATTAATAATGAGCAAAATGACCATTTTAACATGTTAGTAAAAGGACAAACATGACCGTAATGTTAATAAATGCTTGGTGAGTACATAAGAATGATAATTTGCAATTATGAATATAAAAATTTTAAAATAGTTTATTGTATGAATTAGTACTTTTTTTAAACATATCAATTATTACAATGTATTGTAAATTATCCCAAGTCTGGAGTATCAGTGAATTGAATGACATCTTTGGGTGAATGCAATTCAAACACTGAGATATGGTTTAGGCCTGACTTCAAGAGCGGCGCCGGTATATACAGAGTGTGTTGCGGACCGACTG